ATTTAGACACATTGTGACTTTAAAAGAATCATTTAAAAACTCTGACAACATAAACAGTTAAACTTGCTAACTAAACTAAGCTCATCAGACCAGATCAAGCTATAACCCAACCTGGTACAAGTAACATTTACTAATATAATATGCAGATTTTGCCATTGATTTAACAGAGAAAAAGGCATCTGACATGAGAAAAACAAGAAATTTCCTCAAATATTATCCCTCAATTCCTTGGATGCATTCCCTCCACCCGATTTACTTCAGATATCATCTTTGTTTGTTAGTGTTTACTATCAGATAGCATTATCACTTCTGCTTTCTTGAAAAAATCTCAACGTGTTTAAGCAAATTTCTTATGACAAGAAATGGGTATATACTGTAGAAGTATAGTTTCTGCGTTCATGGTAATCTGACAGATTACAGATACAGATGAAGTTCTGTTATCATTTCTGTCATCACCAGACTCTTCTGTGGAACACAAAAGGTGAATTTCTGAAGTATTTCCTGTAGCTTAATTTAGGTCAACTTTAAGACGCAAGCCTGGCTATTTACAGATGTGGCTAAACTCCATTATTACACCATGTTGTCATGAACCTTGCAAATTTGAGCAAATCCAGAAACTATTTTTGTCTAAGAGGCAAACACATCAGCAAGATAAATTCATCTACTAATCATCCAAAGATGTCTTGTTGCATTCTACATGTTGTCATTTCTTCTTGAGTCTCTCCATCTTTGACTGACTCCGTTTTAACATTAAAGGGAAAACAGTTTCTGTCATTTTAGCAGCAGCTCATTTGCATTTAAAGGGCCAGCCACAAAACGGTGCGTTTTTGCAAACCCTCAAAAAGTGACAACTTTAACATGCTAGGCTATATAAAAATATCTGTGGGGTATTTTTTGCTAAAACCACACACACACAAACACACAGAGATTTTATTTTACATCTTGTGAAAATGGCATTTTACCACCCCTTTAATGTTTATTTTTCTATTTAAAGGAGCATTTCACCCATTTCAACATTAATCTTTATTGAAAGTAGATCATATATGTAGTCGAAATGTAAAAGAATTTTTGAATTTGGTGCCCTCTTGACAGAGAAAAGACAGAAAATAACTGAAAACAGCATTTTTTTAGAGTGTGGTGAATAATAAAACCTTGTGTTTGCTCTTGAGTTTGTCTTGGCTTATTCTTGTTTAGCTATTGGGGTTGGGAGATGAACTTTGCTGCCTCCACTCATTATACCATTTTTTTTTTTTGCAGGATGAGCTTCAGTCTGTTAAGTGGGAAATAAACAATAGTGTCAAAGCACAAGAGGAGACTTTGATGGCCACCAAAACTTGCGAGGTTGTCAGACACCAGCAGTCTTGCCTCATGGGAGGCCTTTATGTCACTCTGTGCATTTACTAAACTAAACCTATATCCTGCTGACACATATTTTGGTCATGTCAATTCTTTTAGTTCTTGGTCATCAAATGTTAAGCATTTGGGTTGTGAAAGATAGGTTTGATCTATCTCCAATAAGGCTCTGATTAAACAAGGGAAGCACTTCATCTAATCAAGTAGCACAAGTAAAGTGTATATCATGCACCATTTCTCAGAGTGGGACATTATTACCCCCTACAACAAACATGTTCCGTTGGTATTATGTAACATGTAAACGGACACATAAAACAAGGGAAATAACGCTGAATGATTCAACTGAATGATGATTTCCTACCGGATAATCCATTGGCAGACTGCAGGTGGTCTGCTGTACACCTCCATAAGAAACCAAGCCATGCAATGTACATACAGTGTCTGGCAAATCTCAATAGATCCATGCTAAACCTGTAAACAGAGAGAAAGAGAGAGAGAGAGAGAGAGAGAGAGAGAGAGAGAGAGAGAGAGAGAGAGAGAGAGAGAGAGAGAGAGAGCATTTAAAATAACAGTATCTACCGTTCAGTAATACATTATGAAATATTCAGACATAAAAATGAATGTTGGGAATTACAGCAAGTCAGTTTTAACATTTGTTCTATTCACATCTCTTTTTGTTTTAATAGCTGTTTGTTTTTTGTTTTTTAAATTTCACTAGTAATTATTAAGTTCCAGACAGTTCTTATTCAAATAGTGACTCGATGAGTCAAGGACATTACTCTTTAACTATTAATACTATCCCTTTAGTGACACATATGTCTAACTATTCAATTGAATCTATGGTAATTGTAATTTGGATGCGTTTCAGATATCAACTAGTCACTTCCAATCAGTATGTATTTCAAATATCTAGTACTAGTAAACTTGGAATAGGAACCAGCAATATTTGAAATACATACTAATTGGAAGTGACTAGTAATTACACCCGCACTGTAAAAAAATATTGTTGGTTTAACTTAAAAAAGGTAAGTTACCTGGTTGCCTTACCATTTTTGAGTTCATCGAAATTAAACATTTTAGTTAATTCAATGAATGAATGATTGGTTTACCCAATAGAGACTCAAATTAGAATTATCTGAAACACATTAAGTTGATTTGACAAAAGATTGACAAAAGTTGTGAAAACAAATCATGAAAATAATTTATATGCATGTCCCAGTTATTACTAGTAAAATGTCAGAGTAATTATTAATTTAAGTAAGAAAGGTCAGGATTAGGTAGTTGCATGTAATTATGCACAATTTATAGTAATTAATAACAATATGCAGTAACAAATATGTTGGTAAAATAAAGTGTTACCAAAATTATTATTGCAATGTTGTCAAATGTTATGACAATAGTAACAAATACACACTAATAAATTGGTAAGTCACTATAGATTTAATACTAGTACCTATTTACAAGTAACTAAGAAATAGGCTGCATACTAATACCTGTAAACTGGAAGTGGACTAACCACCAATAATTGTAACAGAATACTTTCAAAAGTAAGTTAGACTAGTAGTCTAATGAAAAGTCACTGGTGAAACTGAAAAAAGATAGTAGGCCTGCTGGATTGTATAAGTCATTTTTTTTTAAACAATGTGTACAAACTTCTTTATTTAAATGTTAACGTATGTTACCATATGGCTATAGCCAAGAGATAGTTGAAGCTAGCCTATGGAAAAAGCCTGTAGCTGCACGCTTGCATCAGTTAAGTGAAGCGTGGCATGTCACGTCTTCGTTTTAATATATTTAGATAGCTTTTGACAAAGGCTTCTCAAATTCATCTTACTATGAAAAATAGCGGCAAATGTGCCTCCTTGAAAGATACGATCAAGTTCCGCCTTTGCGTATTTTGCCGATTGGCTTTTGGCTCATAAGCAAAAGTAACACACACGCAATTTCAAAGTTGTCTTCATGTTGCAAATGCACATGCAACCTTAACTTACTCACACACTCACCGTGTTATTGTTTTAAAAATGTCAGATTACCTGTCAAAATCCGAAGGTTGGAAACGGCATGAGTCGCTTATGTGACGAATCAGATGTAAAAGTTTCGTTTGGTCTGACTGAGATCCATTAACGTTAGGTAACCGATATTTGTAGGATGTTGTTTTAACTCAGACGAGAAAATCTTGTCGTTTTAATGGTCCAATGCGTTTAAACAACACTTCAACGATGTTAGCCATTCATTTTCCACATCTTCCCCTCATAGTCTGCGCCATAACATGTCCTCCCTCTCAATACTGTGAAATATTGTCAAAAAATATGTCCATCACTCTATACTCGCTTTGAACAAAGCGTCCAAAATGAAGAAAGAATTGTTCTCCAAATATACGATGACACAAAAGTATGTCCCGGATATAAATCAAATTTCGAGGTTCATTACATTGTTTCAAAGTCCAATTTTCTGAGTTGTCCAAGTCCCCTCGGCGTTAGGAAACCGTTTGGTGTTGCTTTTGGAGGATGTCTAGTAGCGCAAATAGTTTCTTGGGATATAAATTGTCAGGTTTTGAGGTTTGGTCTCAAAAAGCAGAAAGACACAGCCATCTAGTGGTGTGAGGATCCTCAACCATGCATGCAGCTAAAAACGAAGAAACCACTCCCAGTCTTCTTGACTTGTCTGTTTACCAATCCTACCTACATCCATCCATCCATCCATCCATCCATCCATCCATCCATCCATCCATCCATCCATCCATCCATCCATCCATCCATCCATCCATCCATCCATCCATCCATCCATCCATCCATCCATCCATCCATCCATCCATCCATCCATCCATCCATCCATCCATCTATCTATCTATCTATCTATCTATCTATCCAAAAATTCTAAAAGCCTTATCTATCTATCCAAAAATTCTAAAAGCCTTCTGACTGAATGAGATTCCACAGTATTGATACAGGCTTAGGACTTAGGAGTATTTCACTTTTAAAAAATCTTTTGCTGATAATTTACTCACCCCCATGTCATCCAAGATGTCGAAAAGAAATTAAGGTTTTTGATGAAAACATTCCAGGATTTTCTCCATATAATGGACTTCAATGGGAACCAAACGGTTCAAGGTCTCAAGGTCCAAATGAGATTCATTGCAGCTTCAAATGGCTTTAAACGACAAAAAACAAAAAAAACAAAAAAAACAAAAAACACCTTAACTGTAGAAAGAAAGACGTGGACATCATATCTTGGATGACATGGGGTGAGTAAATTATCAGCAAAAGTTTTTTAAAATTGAACTAACTAACGTTACTCCTTTAAATGTTTTTCTACGAACCTTTTTAAAGAGTGTTACAGTCTCATCCTTCGATAGTATTCAAAACTATTTTTGTTCTTCACAAAAGAATCAAATAAATTAAAATATGAATGTTCATTTTGGGTAAACCATTCCATTACATAGTAACAATAATTTTTGCATAACACCCACTGCTGTGTATGATTCAAGTCGATATTCTCACGGCTCCTCCCTACGTCAAATAGTTTCAATATGAGTTTGATGTTGTGGTGATACGGGATTTCCCTGTGATGCATATTCTATTCAGTAGCAAATAGCGATCGACACGATCAACCGAGCTGACAGTGCACGCGAACGAACTGCTTGATTTAAAGTGGGAGCGCGCGCGCGCGCGTGCAGTGGCAGTGTAGACAAATAGACAGACTGTTACGCCCTCTAAAACACTGTCAGAGCCACATTTACTTCGGTAAACTTCCTCAAATATGCCGTTAAGCCATTAACTTCCTCTCTAAGGAGTGAACACAACTCACGTCCTAAAGACCTCAGCAACTAACTTCCACAGCAGCGGGATTACGGTCCTCAAAGCATCTGATATGTTTGGTAAGACACATTTATTTAATAGTCATAAATAGTTCAGGGATACTCGCGTAGCTTAGACAACATCTTTATGCGTTTTCATTTGTTAAAGAGAAATTACGCAGAGATTTATAATTCCGACCGTGTGATATTTTGCTAAATATCCTGTTCTCGCTTTCGACTACGACTCGATGATTAATCATGTTTTAAATCAGAGAGCAGGAATAGGGGCTACTCCCATAGAGTACCGTTGAATAAATATCAATGAAATACGCTCATTAATATTAAAACACGAGGTTCTAGTTAATTCATAATGACGCCAAAGATAACCTGCAGTGATGAGATCATTTCAAGGCACTTTTGACCACTTTGAATTAAATGGTGAGTTGAAACCAGACTGTATAAACTCTGTTGAAACTCTGAAAACACTGAGTAGAAATTAATAATTACTGTGACAAATTACATGGATGGAAACAAAGTTTGTTATAACAATGTTTTTTAGTTTACATTATAAATACTTTTCTGAAAATTTGGTTGTGCGAAAAATAAAAAGAGAATGAATGGGAAATTATGCAAATTTGGAGAGAAAATAAGGCAGTTGGGTTTTCCAGTGGGAATGAGGAACTGAGAAACATCCTCATTTTAAGCAATCCAACAGAGCCATGCAGAAGTTGGGATATTTATCTTTTTCAGAACAATATAACAGCTTCTACTAGAGAAGTCATAATCTGCTTAACCAACCACAGTCATTTCAGTTTGTAAAGATAATAGCCCATCTGTGAGAGCATCTTCCACACTCATCCGTCAACCTAGACGCAGTTGTAGCCGTTATTGTTGTTGACTTCTTAATGTGAAAGTAGCCTACTGTTACAAAACAGCTGAATATCTTGAATGACACAAGGGGCTCACTTTCCTGTGGCGAGTCACTGGAAAGACGGTGTCTTGCTGTGTCATAAGTTGTGGTGACAGTTCCCACAATCATTTATTTTAGTTTACAAATATTGAGGACTAAGTGTGCAATTACAGCCCATCAATGATGAAAAGAGGAGCGATTGAAGATGAACGATTCGAAATTCTAGATTCAGTATAGAGTGTGAAGGATGGATGAATGTAACTGACCACTTCTAGTTTTGATTCCCTTCTGCATACTCTGCAATCTAGTACAAGTTCTCCTTTTGCTGCCAAAACTAGTCGCCATTCTTCTGCTGGTTTACATGATTTGCGTAATTCGGGTTTGCTGATAAAGTGCAATAAACTCACACACGATACTTGAACAAGGACCTTAATCACCAAAGACAATATTCAGATTAGTGGTCATTTTCCAATGGTTGAATCTTAAAATATTAAATTTAGTCATCTACACTTCAATGTAAACATCGATGACTTCAGCAATGACACGGTATAAAATGTCAATGAGATTCTGTCGCACCTGATTTACTCCATTTTCTATATCACTGAGCACTTCTTCTGCCAAACATGGCTATTGTGATATGACAATACTCTGTTGTAAGTGACAGGACAGACTCCACCCAGACTGAGCTGTCAGTGCTGTTTCTTTGAGTTCTTGGTTTGCTAAACCACATTGGCTAACGCCTCGCAGAGATGGGCAGGGCTCGGAGTATTTTTCTTTCTGAGCGTCTCTGGAGATTGGGCAGAGTCCGTCTCACTCCTTTCTCCTGGGGTCAAACATCTGCCAGACTCTTGGAATAAGTGAGAAAGAAAGAGAGAACGGAGAGTTCTTGGTCGTAACTCCACAGCTCTCAGTTTACTGTTGATGTGCGAGAACACGAATCGTTCTCACATTTTCTACAAGCAAGATGGCCTGCATGTCATGATCCATGATCAAACTATTCAGGAAACAGCTTATCATGTAACAAAAATGTTGAAAACAGCTGTTGAACGATTTTAGAAAGTGATTTGCTGTCAGTAATTCACACTGACCTCTAGTGTAACGTGCACAGCTCTTTTTCCACTAAAATAGCATGTTGCCTTTGCACAGAATTTCCCAAATGTTGAAAAATTATAAATGTGTCTTGAATCAGGCCTTTTCTTGCATAAAATTGCATGAACTGACACCTAATCAATTCTGTTTCAAAGTTTTCCAGTACGCGTTTATAAAATTTCAATTTACATGTCATATTTTCTTCAGAAAGTCCTTTGAGTCATGACCCAAAAATTGTTTTTGTGCATTTCTGAGGATATGAATGCACATAATCCCATCATTGACAAGTGGAAATTCATTTGTGTTATAATATATGCTTATCGATCGAACTGCAAGGGGAAGAAGAAGGAACAACTGGAGGAGGCTGACTGTATATTCAAAACATTGTTTCATAAAGGCCCAAATGACCTCAACATGCTGTGAATTTGCATGAAGAAACAATTAGATATTCTCGTAACGTTTTTTTTTTCCCTTTGTCCCTCTCTTTGCATGTGTAAATCTTTTTTTCCACCGATCCATTCATACATCCTCACTTTTTTAAATGTGTATGTTCACCCATCAAAGATCTAGGGGTGCACTGATATTGTATTTTAACATGGCTGAAACCTATATGCAGAATGTTATATTGTAACTTTTCACCTTAATAACTTATAAATAAAACATTTTTAAATGCAGTTTAAGTGAAATTAAAGGACTAGTTGAAATAATTTTAATTATTTACTTCCTTTCTTCTGCTGAACACCCAGACAGTTGATGGACCCCATTGACTTCTATAGAAGGAAAAAAAAATACTATGAAAGTCAATGGGGTCCATCCACTGTCTGGTTACCGACATCCTTCAAAATATATTATTTTGTGTTCAGCAGAAGAAAGAAATTAATGCAGGTTTGAAACAACTTGAGGGTGCGTAAATGACGATAGACTTTTCATTTTAACTTTTTAAGGCCTGTTCACACCAAGATGAATGTGTGTGGTGTGAAAATTTGGTGCGATAAATGGGTGGTGACGGCCCTGAGCAAGACAGAGGCGTGTGACCTCTGACATATATAGCAATTGTGAGTCGCTTTGGATAAAGGCGTCAGCTAAATGAATAAATGTAACAGATGTTTTACAAAGAGGTTTTAATTTTAAATTAAAATAATAAAATCATTTTAAATAATTAATAAAACCTTTTTTTAAATGAAAACAGAAAATACAAGGGGATATTTGTAGCCCTAAAATCCACTTTTCAGTGATGATTCGACTGCAAAAATGAAGATAGAGATGTGTCAGTCTTGTATGAAGGAGAAAGATTCGGAGGAAATGACACCCGCCAGCGTTGTATTACATACAATGTGGTCCCGCCCTTAATTTGCACTCTTGGACGCCGTGGGCTATATGCACGCATAAGTTCCACATTTGACGCAAGGATGCTCGTCCATTTCCGGTTGTGGAGATTAAACGGGAGGAAAACGGGATTATGGCAGAGTCTTCAAAATGTACTGTCCTCCCGTCTTTGAAAACGAAACGTACATTCATTTAGATGTAATTTTATATATAGTTATGTTTATGTAATATAATTAAAAAGAAATAAACACAACGAGGGCTGTCTGTTTTATCCGTTTTTGTGACTAACGTTTCTTTAGTATAACCATGCAGTATAAAATTCAATATAAATTCTCGGTTGTGCATTGGACTCTACGATCGGCGGAAGTTATCGAGCATCCTTAAACCTTCACCGGAAATACCACCGTGCATAGAGCCCATTGGACATTTGTTTCCCCACAGCGCCATCGATAACGTAACGTTGAGAGACCGATATTGAAACTAGGGAACTATAATAGTATTTAAAGGACAAGTTCGGTATTTTATAATTAAAGCCCTGTTTTAAGATCGTCCCTGATGAAATAGAATGGTTAAGATTGTTTTTTAGACAGATGCTGCTGTCGTGAGAATTTTTGGATTCTGTGTTAGCACCCCCCCCCCCCACCTTTATAATGAAAGCATAGGTGCACTCGAACAATCATTCATTAAAACGCATAAAAGGGGGGGGATGGGGGGGGATGGGTGCTAACACAGAATCCAAAAATTCTCGTGACGGCAGCATCTGTCTAAAAAACAATCTTAACTATTCTATTTCATCAGGGACAATCTTAAAACAGGGCTTTAATTGTAAAATACCGAACTTGTCCTTTAAAGCGGCTCTTTTGTCTCTGTGCGAATACAAAAGTCTGAATGGCTGTTAAAAACATGTAAATATTGTTTCACTTCCTTTTTCTGGGGCGAATTTTGGTGCGGAACATTCGTGTTGGTGTGAACAGGCCTTTATGCATGACAACATTGTAATATACAGAATAAAAATGATTTGCAGAAGATTGCATTAAACAATGTTATACAACGGTCTGTCTGAATACTCGATTCTGATTGGCTGGAAAGTGTGCATTAAAACCAAATACCTGTGTATTTCAAGTATCGGAGATCGCACTGTGCACATCCATTTAACCATTTATTCAACATGACATCATGACTTTTGCGTAAACATACACGCCACTTTCGAGTCAAGTGGCGAGTTATCTATACGCATTTTGAGCTATCCGTGTGTATGTCTACGCCATTAACGTCCGAGTGATTCCGCGTGTCTGTACACGCCGTCAAATGCCCGCGCGAAACAAAGCAAAATGTAGATCTACATCTGGGGAGCGATCTTTTTTTTTTCCTAGGATGGTCAGGGAACAGTCATAAATGCCATTAACCCCAGTGACGGTTAGGTTTAGGGACGGGGATGAGGTAAGTCATATATTTATATATACAGTAATAACGTTAAGTCAACGGCGTTCATAAACACGCTGAAAAGCGATTATGCGTCTTGATAGCACGCCAAAAATGGAAATACGAATTGGCGTGTCATACTTCATGAGATCAGTCTGATTTATTGATCACCTGTCCTGCCAACTCTGGCCATCTAAAGAGTGTTGTGATGTTTTCCTCTAACTGAGAGCGTTGTTACTTCCTCCGCAGACTGCTGAAGTCGAGTGGTCACCTTTTTATCATGCAGAGCATCAAGTGTGTGGTGGTGGGGGATGGAGCAGTGGGTAAAACCTGCCTACTCATCTCGTACACGACCGGCGCGTTCCCCAAAGAGTACATCCCCACCGTGTTCGACAACTACAGCTCCCAGATCGGCGTAGACGGCCGCACCATCAGCCTCAATCTGTGGGACACCGCGGGCCAGGAGGAGTACGACCGCCTTCGCACGCTGTCCTACCCTCAGACCAACGTCTTCATCATCTGCTTCTCCATCTCCAGCCCCCCGTCCTACGAGAACGTCAAGCACAAGTGGCATCCCGAGGTGACACACCACTGTCCCAGCACACCCATCCTGCTGGTGGGGACCAAGAGCGATCTTCGCAATGACGCGGATGTGCTGAAGAAGCTCAAGGAGCAGAACCAGGCGCCCATCTCGCAGCAGCAGGGTCAGGCTCTGGCTCGCCAAATCCACGCCGCCAAGTACCTGGAGTGCTCGGCGCTCAGCCAGGACGGCATCAAGGACGTGTTTGCGGACGCAGTGCGCGCCTTCCTCAGTCCTCAGCCTGTGGCTGCCAAGAAGCCCTGTATACTCCTCTGAAAATACAGAGGATAGAGGTATTTGAATTGAATTACACACAGGAATGCATAGAATGTTACTGAATGTTTGGAGTGGAGAACGGTGACCAGAAATCGGTGAAATTAGAGAAATACAAGATCAAGAAAAAAAATACACTGTATTGAGATCCCTACTTTTTTCATAAATGTTTTCATTTTTGCTTGTAAGCAAATACTTGGTTTTATGTGGAGAGAGTGTTTTTTTTTTTGGATGGGAATTCATAAGACCACTAAACAGTTTGATACCTCGCAGGCAGGAATACATAAAATACAGGAAGTAAACACTTATATTTCAGTGAAAAGGGGTTTTAGTTCATTTTTAGTGTTTGGAGACTTTTGGTTAATGAAGGTTTTTTTCTTTTTCTTTTATTATTTACAAAACACAATCTGAGAATATATATAGCACTTATTATATTTTTTATTATTACATTTGTTCTGTGATTGAGGACAGGCCTTTTGTATAAATAGTGACATTATCTATGATATCGAATGAGCCATTCACACAGAATACGTTCTGCTTTTAAAAACGCGAGCCACAGCTAATTTCGCAAGAAAGCAGGGTAGCGCTTTTAAAAGTTGAACTTCCTATCTTTAAAACACGGCGATTGAGTGTGAAGACGCTGTAACAGCAGAAACAATAGAGTGCACCAGACCATGATGTATTTTTCCCATATGGATTTTAAAAAAGTATTCATTAAAACGTAATAAGCCATGAACCAAACCAATTAGCAACAAGGTGAATCACAAAATTACAAACTTTCAGAGTTTTTAAAAAAAATAAGGACAAGATAATGAGTTACTACAATCCCATGAAGCATTGCGAATGATGTAATTGAATTAAAAACTTCAGATAAAGAACATAAAACCTCTGATATTGGATCTCCCACTACTCACTATATAGTGAGCTCGCCATTTTGTAGAGCTGTCCGAATGTATAGTGATGATTATTATACCCTATATAGTCCACTCAATGCATCCCAGAATGCATTTTGAAAAGTAGTGTACAACCGATGGTCACTAACCCAAGCCCTACATACCATAATGCATTGCGCTGATCGTAAAAAAGACGGAGGGCAAAAGCAATCACGTAATCGATCGAGTAGTGTCCGAAAGTGGTGTTTCTATTATGCTGGTGAGCTCACTATACAGTGCTCTACTCCCTATCCCCTACATAGGGGGTAGGGAGTAGTGGTTTGAGTGGAGATTTCGGACACAGCCATAAAGATATTGATTGTGTATATAGACACAACATTTTGCATTTATTGAAAAATATGCATGTATGTACTAACATTTAAGTAGTTTGAGAGCGTATAAGGAAGATTGACACCATCATGTCATTCGCAGCAGGTGCAAAAGTGCTCTTACATGCCCACATTCCCTGATTGGTGGATATTTCTGTGTTTAACGCAAGCGGACGGCACCTCGTTGCTCACGGTCGGTCTGCCTTTAATGGTTTTTAAGTTATAGTTCAAAATCAATCGCTCTATGGAGAAACTCAATGGGACGTTTCCTTCCGGAGCCCGACTGTTGCACTCTATTGAAACGTGTTCTGTGTGAAGCGGTTCCTTAGACATACCTGATCCTGTACGTGTGATGAGGATGTTGCCTGGCAGCTTGACAGCTTTACTTCCTTGTGCTGGGGAAACTGTCTGGCAGACCCTTCAGGAAACCCTTCAGGTCCCAGCATGCTCTGCGTCACATTCAACTCTTCATTCTTTTCTTCCTCTGGGCTCCAGGGTGGGGCTTCAGAACCTTTTTAGAAAACAAGGCACTTTCTTCACTTGGTGACTGGTTTGGGAACAGTTTGTGTCGATTTAAATAGCACATGGCTCCTAAATGAGCCATTAATGTAAAGGAAGGAAGTTGGCCCAAGATTCAGTGTAAGGCTCAGGGATTCATCAACAAGCTCTCAATTTGTGTGGTTCAGATGAATGTATAACTTTACAGTTTATTTTATGCTTTAACATAAGCAGACAAGACTGTTGCGTGTCAAATTTCAAAGCCAAGGGCAAAATTATACAATACAATAAAAATGCTGTTTTTAATGCTGTTTCCATTTTTTTTTCATTAGCGTTAGATCAAGATAATATCGTGGCTCATTAAGGACACATGCTGCTTTTTGAAGAACTATGCTGAAGTGCTTGAGTCTCAATAAACATTCACAGCAAATGGACAAACATTTCATTGTGTATGAATCATGTGATAACATGTGTTGCTCAATCTGTATGTGCGCTTATGGCCATTCATATATGAGAAATCCCACAGTCATGTGAAAGCAATACAAGCATTGAATAATTTTGTGGATGCTACAGGTCAGGGCCCGGTAGAGACCCTCGCAGATCATGTCCCATTAAAGAAATACAATACATTTCCTTTACTTTTTTAAGTCTCTTATGTTCAACAAGGATGCATTTATTTGATAAAAACCACAGCAATATTGTGAAACTATTCCAATTTAAAAATGCAATTTATTCCTGAATTTTAATCACCATTACTCCAGTCTTTCAGGAATCGTTCTAATATGCTGATTTGCTGCTCAAGAAACATTTAATATTATCATCATGTTGAAAACAGTTGTGCTGATTATATATACTTTTTTTCAGGATTCTTTTAATAAATAGAAATCTTTTATAATATTATACATGTTTTAACTGTCACTTTTCATCAATTTAATGCATCCTTGCTTAATAAAAGTTTAATTTAAAAAAATCTGGTTAATTAGTCTGTAAAGATACTACTAGATTAATATTATTTACATTATAAAAAACATTTCTGTACTATTGATTTCCACAGATTAAATGAGGAAGCAGGTAGTGTATTTAAATACAGTGTGCAAGATCATTTCCCTATCTGACTTTGATAGTGAACATATAGAGGCAAAATAGAGTGAACCTGATATCTGGTCACACACACACACACACACACACACACACTGCCTGAAGCTTTTGCAGTAGGTAGTGATTACAGCAGAGCTGTTCAGACAAGTCAAATACCGGAAGGCATTTAAAATATAGTTTAACATTCTTACTCTTTTCTATATAATATTTAACTGTGCCAAACCTGTTCAAGAAAAAAAGTCTTTTCGGCAAACAACAAGTCAATTTTAACAAAAAATGACAATTCTGTCACTCATATATTCACCCTGATGTTGTTCCAAACCTGTTTGACTCATTTCTCATGTGGAACACAAAGAATGACACAGAATGAAAGTCAAAATAACTACACTGAATAAAATTGCTGTATGATTTACTTCAAAACAATTTTCAAAGAAAGGCAAGTGATTAAACATGACATTTTGAAGTAGAAAGACTGAAATAGTATTGTATTGTAAACCATACTCCAATAATTTTTTTTTTTTTACAGTACACATTTGGACCCCATTGACTTTCATTGTATTGATACAAAAACTGTCCTTCAAAATATCTGGTAACACTTTACTTGAACGGGTGTGCATAAGACTAACATGACACCTTCATAATCATGACATGAAGTAAGGTTTATGCATGTTTGTGACAACTGTCATTAAGTGTCATTTGCTCATGACATTTTTAATGCAAATATGACATTGTTTGAGATGTCTTTGTTATGACACCTTGACATAAGCCAATACATCATAACCTGTCAGTGTCTTTGTCATGACAACATGACATTACTAAGACAACACAACCTGTCATAAACATGACATAGCAGATTCATTATCAAACTTAAGAAACCACCTAGCTTTATTGGTTAACATTACATTAAACTGTCAGGTGGCTGGTTTTGACATTGGCTGTCATGAAGCCATTATAACTTTTTAATGACAAATTTAATTAGTACCACTGTAGTTGAGGTCACGAAAATATTCATGACACATAATTATAATGGCCTCATGACAGTTTAACTTAATTTAATGTCAAGTTGTCATGACAAAGACACCGACAGGTTATAATGTATTGGTTTATGTCAAGATGTCATAACAAATGCATCTTAAACAATGTCATAGTTGCGTTCAAAATATCATTATTGAGCGAAAGACACTGAATCATAAACCCTACTTCATATTCAAGACATATGTCATGTCATGGTTACGAAGGTGTCATGTCAGTCTTATGCACACCCCTTCAAGTAAAGTGTTACCAAATATCTTGTGTTCCACTGAAAAAAAGGACTTCACACAGGCTAGGAATGACGCGAGGTTGAGTAAACGATGGTTGACTATCCTTCTTCAAGATTCTGTTTAAACTAACTTCTTAAAAAGGTCAGAGCTGGCCAGTGAATGGAGAATCAGGAATGCAGCAGAAGGGATTTCCTTTAGTGCTCTTCTGCTTGCAAACTTCCTTGATCTGTGAGTAAATAAACAACACTCCCAATTTGGCATCAGAATGATGTTCAGTTAAAACTCTTTGTCATCCTGTCTGTTTCTACACGCATACTGGGGTGGGCATATCAGATTAGGAACCGAGTTTTACGCACTTATTCACTCTCAACTAGAACCTATTCAAATGTAACTGTAATATTTGCTATTTTTGTTCACACTCTTTATCGGTGCATTTCCCTACACAAGCAGAATTTGCCCCACTCTCTGCAGCCTATCCGCTCTTATTTGACTGTGAAATTAGCTCCTGGTACCTGTGTTTGTTTTTCAGGTGCTAACAGTGACTCTTTTGTCGGTTTTACCTCGTTCATTTGTTTGCTCGTTCCTGTGAAAAGTTTTGACACGAGCCTTACTGACAGCAACTCTGCTATATCAAAGACTACAGTGACTTTGCTTATATTATGGGAATCTTCTTCTGACAAATCTGAAATTATATGTAAAAAAAAGTACACACTTGGGAAGAACAGAACACATCATTTCTTTCCAACACAACTGCAAACTACAACCTCTAAACTTAGAGTTGTTCACTTTTAAAAATACCTTTTGCTGATAATTTACTCACCCTCATGTCATCCGAGATGTCCATGTCTTTCTTTCTTCAGTCGAAAAGAAATTAAGGTTTTTGATGAAAACATTCCAGGATTTTTCTCCATATAATGGACTTCAATGGGAACCAAACGGTTCAAGGTTCAAATGAGAGGGCTTTAAACGACACCAGACGATGAATAAGGGTCTTATCTAGGAACCTTCGAGTCACGACTCGCAAAAAGATTTGTTCATTTTGATAAACGAGTTTGTACAGGAGAGTCACGAACGCTCATCACAGAACAGAGCAAGGCGAGCATTTGTGCTTATAAAACTTAAACTTTTTTATTTATTTTTTAAATGAGCGATCGTTTCGTTTGACAAGACCCTTATTCATCGTCTGGTGTCATTTAAAGCCTTTTGAAGCTGCACTGAAACTCTCATTTGGACCTTGAACCGTTTGGTTCCCATTGAAGTCCATTATATGGAGAAAATCCTGGAATGGTTTTCATCAAAAACCTTAATTGAAAGAAAGACATGGACATCTTGAATGACATGGGGGTGAGTAAATTAACAGCAAAAGTTTTTTTTTTTTTTAAAGTGAACTACTCCTTTAAAGGCTATGTATCAAAATGATTATAAAATAATTATAATAAAACTTTACAGGAATATAAGGTCTCATTTGATAACATTAGACTAACAGTGAGCTAAAATAACAACAAAACTAGTTAATAATAATACAGTAGTTAATCGTGTGCTCATTAGAATTCACAGTACAGTAACTAATGTTAACAAATCTAAAAAATGTATTAGTAAATGTTGAAATTAACATCGACTACTATAAATGCTGTAGAAGTATTGTACATTGTTGGTTCAAGTTAACTAATGTAGTTATCTAATGTTAACAAATGCAACCTTACGTTACTATAATTATCAAACGGATTAATCTTAAAAAACTTAATCATAAAAACTTGTAAATAAACATTTTGAAACATATTACACACACGTTTTATGTTAGATGCGCTTAATCTCGATGATCTAGTAATACTACTTTCAGAAATGGTCCACTTCTTTTTCCATCGAAATATTTATTTCACAACGATTTAAAAACAGGATTTTGGTACATCGTAAAAAGCATTGCAATATGAAATCATGTTCACAACAACTGGTGTTCTACGAAATATGGGTAACATGTCATATTGCGCTTAACCAGTTTTAACGTTCAGCTAATGGCAACATCACGTTCACTAAGGGCACAGGTCGTTCATGATCAAGAACTGCACTAGAAATATGAACAAACATATAATGCTCTTTAGCCGCTAAAGACCTGAAATGCTGTGCAAAAGGCAGCTTACAATGACTTTTCACATGATTTACACCAGCGTCACAAAGAAAGAGTGGTGTGACTGAACTGAATGTGTATATGCTCGATGCGGCACTTTTGTGAAACGGCAGCTGCAAAAACCACCTGACACGACTTCAGTCTCCTTTCACATTTGCAAATATTTCATAAATAATATGCATTTAAAACGTTACAATGTTTGACAACCAATTAGTAAGAGACAGACATGTCACGTCACATTTTGGTTTATGAGGAGATTTGAAAGTGATAACAGTATAGATATTAGATAGATGACTAAACGATTTTGAAGGCATAATCAGCCTGATTAAAATATTTTATATAGCACAAAAACTGACAATGATCTGATCAGACACCTGTATTAAAGTTAATCAAACACTGTGATGTAAACAGTCGTACATGCTCCGATCAGTCAGTCTCACCCTAGTGTCTTAAGTTTCAAGGAGATGATGCAAGTATTCAGTTCCTGTGTCAGAAGCGCTTTCCCTCTGGAGGTGTTGCAACCATCACCTCCTTACCTCCAAAGTCCCAGTAGGCAGTCATGTGGAAGGCCATGTTGGACAGCACCACCAGATACTCACAGCCGGCGAACAATGAGTAAACTGCCACAGGGAGACAACAAGAACATACTGAATGAAGCGTTAAACTTGAATCGAACTGAAACAGCAAAAGAAATAAGGGTTGAAATAATAATTCTGTGCAATAATACATTAAAAAACAAATGAAAATAAATTAATTTAGTCAATTTAGACGTCTCAACATTATAAAGTACAATATGAAAAATGTACATTTATTGTTTTTAAAGATTAACTTAAAATTAGATGATCTAAATGTAAAAAAAAAAGGAAAATAAGCATGCACAATTAACCTGTTAACTGTCACCCCCCCTTTTTTGAATAGACATGAAAATGCACATTTCGAACTTAAATGGTTGTAATTCAAGAATGCTTTGGAATATAGACATATGATTGGCCTTGTTTTAAAGAAGACATTTGGCAGATTTTTGTAAAAGTGAAATAAATTAAGAAAGTGAAACAAAAAAAAAGTTATAGAAGTTTGAGTTTATGGAAGTGTACAATGTAAAAATATTAATTATTCATATTTTATATAAAATATATATTTTCAAAACCTGGGCTACTCTAAAACGGCAGAAAGATCAAAGCCAAAAATCTGAACAAGTTGTGTTTCAAATTTTAGGTTGATATCTCAAAAAATGAGCTTTCAGTAAGATTTTGTTTGAGCGCAGTACCAAACTTTGTCACTAGGGCAAATCAGACTCCATTACTGCCCATATAAGGGCGCCTGCATTTCCATTCGTGTTTTCAGTGATATGAACCATTATTTTCACAATTTTCATACAATTTCTGAAGTAGAGATCCTATTCAGAAGTAGCACGGGAAGTTTGGCAGATTTTGATATGAATTGAACCTCTAAGAAACACATACAAAGAACACGCATGTAAGTCATAGCTAGCTGCCACGTCACAAATGGTGAATTTATTATTTTTTTCTTGATATTTCAAACTTTTCAGACCTTTTTTTCCAAAATAATTGAATGGATTCTATCTTGTGAACTTTTGGCATGAAAACAAACTGAGGTATCTACCATTGTTTCATGATTTTTCATGTTTACTGCTATTTTAAAATAAAGGTCTGAACACGCCTTATGAGTATGAAAATATTCTTGTTTTATATTGATAAATTATGGCTCCTCTGTAATATATTTTGAAAATCAGTCACCAAATATGGAAACTAGAGATTGTAAGCTTTTAAATGATATATACTGTAGTTTGTCAATATTATTTAAGGTATTTACTAAGATATTATTGTTTTAAAAATATAGTGGCACGGTGACAGTTAAGTGGTTATCGACAAATACTGTCTCATACAGATAATTAAACACAATCGCTAATTTGAAATGATGACTGATTTGGACTGAGTTGTTAGAGACGTATCATGAATTCCTGTTTTAGTATAATTAACAGTATAATTCAACAGCTTTGCAGTCTGTGTCATTTTTTGTAAACGATCAAATAAAGGATAATAAGAGTATTTTTATTTTTTATTTAATTAATAGTTTTATTCAGAAAATGTATAAAAAAATGGCAAATTGTTGCAAAAAATCTATTTCAAATTAATGATATTTTTTTTAACTTTGTATTCATCAAAAAATTAACTTAAAATTAGATGATCTAAATGTAAAAAAAAAATGGAAAATAAGCATGCACAATTAAATATCGACAAATACTGTCTCATACAGATAATTAAACACAATCATTAATTTGAAATGATGAATGATTTGGACTGCTTTGTTAGAGACATATCATGAATTCCTGTTTTAGTATAATTCAACAGCTTTGCAGTCTGTGTCATTTTATGTAAACGATCAAATAAAGGGTTAATAAGAGTATTTTTTTATAATTAATAATTTTATTCAGAAAATGCACAAAAAATCATTAATCATAGCAAAATTAATGCTATTTTTTTAAAACTTACTATTCATCAAAAAATGATGGGGAAAAAATGTTTTACGCTTACATATAAATATAAAGCGGCACTGTTTTCAACACTGATAATAAGAAGAAATGTTTCTTGAGCATCAAATCAGCATATTAGAGAGATTTCTGAAGGATCATGATGCTGAAAATTCAGCTTTGCCATCACAGGAAGAAATTACATTTTAAAATATATTAAATAGAAAAAAGCTATTTTAAATGGCAATAATATTTCACAATATTACTGTTTTCACTGTATATTAGAACAAACTTAAAAACATCTTAGCGACCCCAAACTTTTAAATAGTAGTATATACAGTATATATATATATGTGTGTGTGTGTGTGATTTGTGAGAACTATTCAACTAGTCAAACAAAAGAATTGAAATATTGCTAAGAATTTGTGAGCTGATGTTAAGCATATGAACTACCCAAAAGGGAACAATCGCAGAGAGGAACATGGGTGGGGTGAATGACAGAACGGTCGAGATGTTGCACTCACTTCCTGCTTCACAGTACTTGTTGTGTCGCCTGTAGAAATAGACAGCCAACAGACAGATGCAACAGTTGAAGAGGAAGAGGCGGCGCTTCAGGCGGTGTGACCTCATCTCCTGATGTCAAAGAGGGTTGGGGCAGATGCAGTGAAGAAAGACAGAAGAAAAAGAAGAAAGAAGACACAATGGCATCAGTTCTCTTCTGCAACGTGATGTGGTGCAAGCAGGTGGGACGAGGTTGTGCTGCAACCACTTCCCCCGACTTTCACAGCTATAGAAATACAAAAGATACACACACTGTGGTCTCTCACACATTAACTCGCATGAACAACACCTTTTATTAGAGCTGTGCTTGTGGTGTCAAGATCAACTAACGTGATATTTGAATAATTACAGCGAGTATTTATATCAGCTGAATGTTAAACGGATACGCTCATTTCGTCCAATCAGTTTTTGTGTGCGTGGCTAAACTTAAGCTGCATCCGAAACCGCATACGGTCTGAAGAGTCACCACAACTGACTTGGAGCTTTGTAACGTTAAAAAAAGTATGTTTATTTAGTTTGAACATACTACTGAATGTACTCACTGTCATTTTTCCTATGACTTCACTGCCATTCACAACTCCTCTCCCATGGCCTCATGGGATAGTAAAGTGAATCTTGCCGGAAGCAGCAAGTCATCCGGGTACTTATCATCTACTGTTTTATGAATACTGTGAATTCAGACGCACTACACTTTTCACATACTGTGTTTCGCCCACTATATAGTAGGGGTGCATTTCTATTCAGACACAGGGAGAGTGTTCTGGAAGAGCATTTATATGATGAAAAATAAATAATGTAAACACTTAATTCACGTTACAATTATCCTAACAGAATTTCCAACAGGGCTTGCAGCAATATAATTGTTGAATAAGCTGAGATGGTTTATATCGCCCTCTGCTGACATGTTTATAACAAATATGTACAAGTCCAGAATATACGAAACGCATTACCTCTGCACTAAGGGAATTCTTCGCTATCACTGACCACAGCTTGCAGGTGCACAACATGTGTAACAGAGAACTGCCAATAAACACGATGAAGCCGCTCTTATGGACACCTGTGGATTGATATACACACAGCATTACAAACCAAACTTATTTTGTAGGTAAAATTAATATAATAAAGTTGATATAATTGATATAATAAAGTTCATATTTTTATCCAAAATAATAATAAAAAAAATCTTAAAATATATTTTGCATGAAAAATTAAACCTGTTTTTTTATTTAAAAAAATAATTGCTGTAATTTCAACAATTTTTCAACAACAAAAAAATCAGCATATAAAAATGATTTCTGAGGGAGTATATTACTACTAAAATATTATTTCAAATTATTACTGTTTTTATTGTATTTTTGACCAAAAAAATGAAGCTTGAAAAACAAATATTGTTAAGAAGTGTACTTAAATCTGTGCTTTTCAAATATAATTTTAAAACTAAATGATATGATAATTTGCATTAAAATACAGAGATATTTTTGGATTAGAATAGACAAAAAAAACATAAAAGGAAAAAATAATTTATATTCAGCATGAACAATATCATTTTTCTTATGGGCCTCACAAAATATAATTTCTTATTTTTTCCTTTAGATTCTGGGGTGAAACATTTCTTGATAGTTTTCATACTCTCCCCATAACACATAAAAACTTGAAGTGTTTAAAAAGCACTTTTGCATCTCCAACTATTAAATATACCACATTAAATTAACTAATCAATAACAATATAATAACAACCCCATTTTGTCGACCCAGCAGGAGCTCTCAGCATCCGCGTGTGTGTGTGTGTGTTGAAACAGGACTCAGGGCTTCAGTCCAAAAATGCACTTACTGTAGGTCTCGGTGGAGGAGACGTAAGTGAGCAGAAGCAGCCCAACATTTTCACTTAAAGCTAAGAGGAATGTGAGGACACTCAAAAGCTGCTCCTTCAGCCTCCTGGAAAAGCGTCCACGGTAAAAGCTGAAATATGCTGCCGCCACCAGGAAGCGTGGGGCAGAATGAAGGCCAATGCTGAAACGCCAGATGTAGCGCTCTGGTGTCAGACTGATGGCTGCGCTGATGGACGGGAGGTAGTTAGCAACCTGCGAAGGATTTTTGACAACACTTTACATTACAATAAATATATATATGTGTGTGTGTGTGTGTGTGTGTGTGTGTGTGTGCAGTACTAGTCAAACGTTTGGAAACATGACTGTTTTTAATGTTTTTGAAATAAGTCTCTCATGCTCATCAAGCCTGCATTTACTTCATCAAAAATACAGAAAAAAAATGTAATATTGAGAAATATTATAACAATTACAAATAATGGTTTTCTATTTTAATATACATATAATTTTCAGCATCATTACCCCAGTCTTCAGTGTCACATGATCCTACCGAAATTATTCAAACATGATGTTTTGAAACTACTCAGTTATTATAATGTTGGAAACATGTATGCTGTTTAATATATTAAAAAAAATATATATATATATATTAAAGGTTAAAAGTATTAAAAATATTAAGTATTAAAAATATTAAACAGTACAACTGTTTCCAACAATTATAATAGATCAGCAATCAATCATATATTAGAATGATTTCTGAAGGAAGACTGGAGCAATGATGCTGAAAATCAGCTTTTCATCACAGAAATAAGTTATATTTTAAAATACTCTATACAAGTTTTCTAAATTGTAATACTATTTCACAAAATTACTGTTTTTCATTGTATTTTTGACCAAATAAGCAGGAGCACAAGAGACTTTAATGTTTAAAATTAATGTTAAAATGAATATTTTGGCGTCAATATTAGAAAAGTGTAATATATGTTCTGAGGTGGTGGTTTGAGGGGAGTGCTAATTGTAAGGTCACATGTTGAGTGTGTGTGTGTGGGTCTGGTTCTCACCTGGCAGTGTGTGTAGGTAGAGTCATTGTAATGGTAGAGTAGAGCCAGCACGACGCAGGCGATGAGGCCGAGCAGCGGCAGACACACTGTGATCACCGCTAACCGGGTGAAAGGCACACGGAAGAGAGGCTTGTCTCGATCCACAGATCCGTACGGGACCTGTTGCATCTTCCCGTTAACCAATTACAGCTCCCGATGGGTCAACAGCTCCAAACCGATGCTATTCAGTCCATTGCGAGAACAGTGACGTATTGACAGAGTCTCTAACTTCAGTCCGAGCTGAAGTTGCGGATTTAAAGAGGCTGTGGATGAGGGCTTTGATTAACTTCCATGCTTAGTGACCGTTCGCTCACCTCCGGCTCTCTGTCGCTTGGTTTAAAAGCAGTCGACCTCTAAATTAAGCGACGTTCAATCCTTTAACGATACGTAAGCAGTTAATCATTTAATTCGAATAAAAGGTTGTTAAAATTCTAGGTCCGACAGTAAAAGAAAAGGTCTGGATGTGTTTGTGAAAGTGCAATTCTCAAACATTTCCGGTTCCGCGAAGCCAATGGATTTCAAAATCAAAGTCATTATGCTGTGCAATTTCCCCACATAATTAATTTATAAATATTTTAAAACATAGATTTTACATATAAAAATGATAGTAATTCGCAAACATAATACTGTATTAATAAAAAAAAAACTCAAATGGTTTTTATGTCATTTTAAAACCTGAACACTGACATGCTGTATGATATTAATTTTTAGACCCCATTCAATGTAAAAAATGACTTTTATTCCAACATACAATGCTTATTCTTGTATGTTTCACTGACCACACATATTTAGGGAATGTAGACCATTCCTTTGGGGAAAATTATCATTACATTGGCTACATTATTTGTTCCTATCATAGGACTGTATACAATGAAGGACTGACCCATCCATTTATATATATATGTAAAAATGCTTGCACCGACCGGGGGTTGGGGGAAATCATTTTTTCGTTTCATTCATAATAATGTAACATGAACTTAAACCAACCACACTGACAAAATGAAGAAAACGTACTGCTAATAGACATCCAATCACATTGCATTTCCAGTCAGTACATTTATCAAATCAGGGGACTGTTTGTCAACCTGGTGCATCGCTGTATATTTAAAAATGGGCCCCTTGGTGTGTGTTAAATCCAATCCAATCATTTTCTTTTGAAGAAAAACAAAACATGAGGATTCATTCACTCCCCTTTCTTTGAAATGAAGAAAAAATAATAATAATTACGATCTGCCCTCTCTTTTTCCAAATAGCACCCTCAGAGTCAGTTCCTGGAGAGAGGACTCAGGAGAACATCTGCAATGTTTGTAGACTGGTGGCAAGAGGTGGGAGTGTGGGAATGTTTAGGTATACATGTCAGGGTCTCTTGGCCCAGTCTATTCGAGATGTTCTCCAACTCTCTTCCACAGCATTTATCATTTCACCCATTCCCACTCTTCCTACAGTAATAGCAGTCAGGAGTCACTGTCCGAGCCGTTGCTGCTGTCTCGACTGATCTCGATCTGCAGCGAGGGAAGGTTGTCCAGCCGGCTTTTCTTCATCTTGTTGGACTGCTGCTCCTTTTGTTTGATCATTGCTCCCCACACCTTCTGCAGCTGAGTGTCATCCTCTTCGTTGTCATCTTCATCTCCGTCAGATTCCTCATCTCGACGCCTTATTCCTCTTGAGGAAGTCGCTCGAGAAGAAGTCTTGTCATCGTCCCCGCTGTCCTTGTGAGATGGGCCGAGACGACTCCACAAGCCGCCTGAAAACACAAATACTGTTAGTTAGTATCATAAAATAATGTACAGAGAACCAGAAGAGCGGCGATTTCACGCGTACCTCTTTTCTTGTCTTTCGAGGACTCCGAGTAGTGGCTACGGCTCTCGTGTTTAGCTACACCGAGACGGCTGCGCACGTCAGTCAAAGGCTCTCTCCGAGACACTGCGTTTCTAGAGATGACGGGAGAGACGGAGCGACGCCTCTCCGGAGAGTGTGGTCTCTTTCCTAATCTCTGTCTCACATCTATGAAGAGTAAAACAAACAGATGCATCCTTTCATTGCCCACATTTGCTCGGCTCCAAAACAGACGACCTTCTCTGTGAAGAGTTCTAAACTCTGGAACTCTTTACCTTTTGAAATCAAGACTGTGTCTGACTTTAAGATGTTCATTTCCAGGCTGAAAAATTGGAAAACGGTTCTCATTTTTAACTATATTTAATTATTGGAGTTGTATATGTATGTTGGATAAATATTTTTTTTTTTTACTGAAATAGCTAATCATGTAAATTTTATTGTGTATAAAAGCCCTTCCAGGGACAGGAGTTGAAAATTAGCAATAGCTATAAACTTTATTTGCAACACTTCAGTGACATGCTTGGTCTTGACACTATGTTTGTTTGTATTGTCCCTGTCAAATAAATAAATAAATAAATGGTCAAACTTATAAACCAATGCTGTGGATTTTAATTCATCTGCTTATATTTCTAATATTAAGACCTGTACAACTAAAACTAATAGCTTGTGTCCTTAAAGAACTAACTCATACAGTCTCAAAATAAAACAAACATCTTTCTTAGATTATTTTACTTGACTGCAGTCAACAGCAAATAAGGGGAAAATAAATAGTTTAAGCACATTATATTCAATATATTCATAGGCACTGAAATTGATTTATGTAATAATATATATAAGTGCATCTGATATTATGTGATACCTATATGATATGATTTAGATTATTGCATCGATAATGCAATAAAATCTATAAACTGAATGTCTTGACAGAGCGGCCCAGAGAAAAGCCACAAGAGTTTACTTTGAATGAAATGCCTGAAAGAGTTTGTGTAACCAAAACACCAATAATATCAAGACCGAATCATTTTTTAAGCACTTGTGGGAAACCTGTAGATCAGTGGTTCACAATCTCAGCAAACAGCAGAATGACTTAAATATATTGTAAAAATAAAAAAGTTTTTATCTCTCAATAACTAACCAGTCTTGACGGATGTAGCCACTGGGGGCCGTGATCTCTGTTGAGAGAGTCCCTGCCTCTTCTCCTCCAGCAACTGCCTCACATCGGTCACTTTGTCTGACGTAGATTTGGACGAGCCTCCTCCTCCTGCTCCTTCTCTTTCACCACCTCCAATGCGACTCCTAACACTGCTACTTGTTTCGGTCCGTATGGAGTTCCTAGGAAAGTGGAAGGGACAAAATGTGCAATTACTATCAAGACAATCAAACTCAGCGCAAAGACAACATTTACATCCAAAGAATAAATAATTGGACTTACCGGAGAGTGCGAAGGTTGGTTTCAACCTCGTCGGCATACATGGTCATCTTCATGCTCTTTTTAGGAGAAGGCGTTGAGATCATTTTCAGCTCCAGATCGTAGTCCATCTCATCTGAATCTGAAGATGCGGGCGACGGGCTTCCTAAGCGACCGCGCACGCCTCCTTCCACGGGCCGTGGTCCCCGTTCCCCCCGATCTTTGTACTCCACCACTCTATCATCAGCATCCATGTCTTCCTCTCCATCCTCATCCTCTTCTTCTTCTTCCACTATAGGCTCTTCTGGCAAATTCACCAGGTCAGCTGATTAAAGAGAAAGAGCTCAAATTACAGACCAAAGAAAAAACATAAGACAAGGATGTTAATCGTTTAAGAGATTTACCAGAGTGTCGATGAGTGTAAGGTGGGGTGTGTCCCATACTGTCTCCGATCAGAGGCTTTTTGGTCTTCAGAACGTCCCGCTGGATTCTCCGTGTGTGATACCTGCGTTTCCTACGGAAATGGACACGATTCCCGAAAATGAATAAGTAACCCCGAGAAGAATTCGGACTGCAACCATTTAGTTAGAAGTAAAATTGCAAAAATGGCTCAGAAAAAGACAAGTCACACTACCATTTAAACGTGTGGGATCAGTGAGATTTTTTTTTATGTTTTTGAAAGAAATCTCTTATGTTCAACTCAGCATTTATTTGATCAAAAATACAGTAAGAACAGTACTATTGTGAAATTCAAATTAACTGTTTTCCATTGAAATATTTATTAATTAATCAATACTCCAGTCTTTAGTGTTACATAATCCTTCAGAATTCATTCTAATATGCAGCTAGAAACATTTAAATATTATTATCAATGCTGAAAACAGTTGTGCTGCTTAATATTTTTGTGGTAATCATGATACTTTTTTTTCTTGTACAGGTTTCTTTGGTGAACAGAATGTTCAAAGGAACAGGATTGCTTTGACTTTATAAATGTCTTTACTGTAACTTTTCATAAATTTAATGTGTCCTTGCTAAATAAAAGTTTTATTTTTTTAAATGAAAATTTTCTTTGCATGCAAGTTCTTCTTACCAAGAGTTACTTAAGATGCCTTTCATGCCGCCATAGTTTGGATTGCCATATTTCATGTAGTACCGACTTCTCCTAGCTGCACCCAACTCCTTTTTGTCATCTGAAGAAAAATAACAGTTAGGGCTGGGTATCGATTCACATTTCAATTTCGATTCGATTTCGATTCGCAAGCTCTCAGTTCGATTCGATTTCGATTCTCGATTCCTGATTTGATTCTCGATTCAACTATAATGAAGATGTAATAAAAATCCTATATTTATAATTTATAAAAGAAGAGAAACAGTCGCACGGCTTGATCAAACAGTATCATGTTATTTTATGTTTAAGATAGATAAATATATAAATATTTAGACATTTTTTACATTGATCTTACCTAAATGTTAATGTATTTTTTTTGATTTCAAAAAATTTGAATTGATTTCAATCTTTGAATTAAATTGAAAAAAGTAGCACAAATAAATACAATAGAATAAAGACAACAAATTAAGAGACATTTTGGGGAAGTTTTTTGGGTATGTCAGATATACTACAGAAACTGAATAAAGTAATCCAATGTAAAATAACACTGGATAGTCTTTTTAGTCCAGACTGAATTAAATACAAAGGCTATTAATTCTGATTGCTTACAATTAATACTATATTCCGTTGTTATGACAACAGAATTAATCACTGACACAAATGGCTGCGTTCACTTTAAGAACTAGTGCGCGAATCCATACTGTTTCATTAACTTTCTGTCACACGCGTTTAATGCTAATTTAAGACATTACCGACTGTCTTTAGGAGGTTACTCACCAAGACCAGAGTTTTGACATAATGTTGCGTGTTTTAACTGTTAAAGCGATATAATCCAGGGACAAAACTTTTGTTTCTGGCGAGCTGTTTGTGAGGCGGATTTAGGCTGTAACGTTACTGTGCACGCAGTGAAAGACATCTCTGAGAGTGCGCGAGCACGGGATGGTTTAACATTGCTTGAGCAAATAAATGATAAATGTTAGTTACGATCATAGGTCACGATGCAATGCTGGCCCGATTGTGCAAGTGAATATTCCGTCGTGTCCCGACTCCTAAACGCGTGTGTGTATCGACAGCTGCAGCGCTTAGCGCTTGCCTAGTGCAGAGAGACGAGAAGATGCAGCACCGCGTCCGCGAGCCCTTTATATGGAAAAAATCGATTCGTGGCCGTTGAGAATCGATTTTGAATCGACCACATTTTAAAAAACGATTAATCGAAAAATCGATTTTTTTGCCCAGCCCTAATAACAGTTAAGACTGTTAAAATCCAGAGATCAGTCGGTACTTTATCAATGTAATCAGCATAAGGGGCTTCCGCACGGGTAATTACAGGAATTAGCCAGCGACTTAAACCATTAGTTAGAAATAACCATTAGTTATAGGAACTATGAAAAAGTTCCTCTGGTGTGAAAGCCCCTCTCGACTAATAAAGAGCTTTTAACAATTCCTTCTATTGTAGGGGACAATTAAAGGAGTAGTAAACTTTTGCTGATAATTTACTCACCACCATGTCATCCAAGATGTCCATGTCTTTCTTTCTTCGGTGGGAAAGAAATTAAGGTTTTTGATTAAAACATTCCAGGATTTTTCTCCATATAATGGACTTCAATGGGAACCAAATGGCTCAAGGTCCAAAATATAGTTTCAGTGCAAACTGTTCAAAGGGCTTTAAACGATTCCAGACGATGAATAAGAGTCTTATCAAGTGAAACGATTGTTCATTTTTTTAAAAAAAAGTTTAAGTTTTATAAGCTCAAATGCTCGCCTTGCTTTGTTGTGTGACTCTCCTGTTCGAACTCGTTCATCAAAACGAACAAATCTTTTTGCGAGTCACTTCATTTATTTCGTTCGTTGACTGAACCAAATGACTCGAAAAAGATTTGTTAATTTTGATGAACGAGTTCGAACAGGAGAGTCACGAACGCTCATCACAGAACAGAGCAAGGCGAGCATTTGAGCTTATAAAACTTAAACTTTGTTTTTTAAATTTTTTTATTAAATAAGCGACCATTTCGCTTGATAAGACCCTTATTCATCGTCTGGAATCGTTTAAAGCCCTCTGAACAGTTTGCAGTTTGCACTGTAACTGTCTTTTGGACCTTGAACCGTTTGGTTCCCAGTAAAGTGCATTATATGGAGAAAATGCTAGAACCTTAATTTCTTTTCAACTGAAGAAAGAAAGACATGGACATCTTGGATGACATGAGGGTGAGTAAATTATCAGCAAAAGTTTAAAAAGAAAAGTGAACTACTCCTTTAAGTATGTTTCTCACCTTGGGTGGCAAAGCGCAAGAGCAGCTTGTTGCCTTTGAAGGGCTTGGTTGTAGGCCGCAGATCATTCCGGAGGAGAGATTCTCGCTCTGCTTGGGACAGCAGGCTTGCCTAGGATCAACAGATTTAATATAAGGTACACCCCCAAAAAACAACGAAATATGAAAACTACCATTGAGAATCTGACTAAGAGATGTGACAAGTTTACCTCTGCAGTGTCCTGTGTTTTCTTTTCTGTCTCTTCCTCAATGTCGCTAGCTTTACCCTCGCTGCCATCACTGCTCCTGCTCTTATCCACTTTCACCACCTCATCTTCATCATCGACCTCTCCTTCCTCCTCCTCATCCTCATCATCATCCTCATCAGAGCCACGGCTTCGCCGAACTGTTCAGCAATGGTGTGAGATTTGTTTCGCAAAACTAAGAACATTGATCAAGGTGACGATGAATAAACAGGACACACAAACCTTTCTCTGGCTGGACTGGAAGTGCAGAGGGTTTCGAGCTGTTGGCGTTTGTGACCTCGGCTTTGTCTGGCATCCGACTCAAGTTAATGAGAGCTCTGGTTGAAGTGATGTCGTCTAGCCACACCACGTTGCCTGGAAACAGTGTGATTTGACTATGAGCGCCACAATCCCCAGCCTTAAACAAAACTTTACCTGTTTTCAATTCAGAATTTGGATGCATTCAACATGTATAATACTGGCAGCAGGGTAATAATATCCATGAGGCTATACTTACAGGAAGCGTCATCGATCCACTCGATGTGGGCAGGTGGATACTCTTTAAAGTAGCCAAAAACATCTTGAGTGCTCATGTCATCAACTCCAGCCATGTATAGGGCTTCCAGACGCACATTTGGGATCGCTAAAGAGAGAGAACACGGACCACAAGAGCTTAAAGTCTACTAAAACTGAAGGAGAGTAAATGATGAGTGAATGTTCATGTCGTTCCGACTGGCAGATATTTTAAGTGCAAGGTGGATAGATGCCACTAAGTTAATCAAAAATGCCATTCATTGTAAATGATTCTAATTATTGATCATTATCGATTAGTTGTTGTTGCAGCCCTACTTTACAATGTCAAAAAAGAAGAAGAAATGAAACGTCTCACATATGAATGGTTCACAATAAGACCAAAATCACGCCTTTAGTAAATGGATAGACATTTAATTTCATGTCACATTTAAATCAATTGTTAGGCTACAGTTCTTACCTTTTTTCAACACATCCCGGTCCAGAACAACGTTCTTCTGCGCCAGATTTTCCTCTGCGCTAAAATGAAATCTTCTTGCTCGCTTCTCCTTCTTCTCAATGGCCTCCTGAACACGTACAAATGTGGTGAACAACAGGTAACGTTACATTACTAGGCCGGATAATATATTCACACATTCAGCTGGTACTTACCTTAGACGTGACATCGATTCCAGTGATAAAGGTTCCAGCCTTATTTTCATAGCGTCGGCTGGTGTCCTGTGGAAACAGTTAACGTTAATCATACAGAGATGCACGTGAACAGCAAATACAGCAGAATGTCTTCGCCTCATTTTTTTTTAATTCAAGAGGGTCACCTTAATCTGAAATACGGGTTTGTTTGTACTGTCATAAACAATCAGAATAATTGATCAGTATAAACATAACAGTGCGCCAAATGAAGTGTGTCAATCTTAGGAAACTTGGGCCAGAGATTCACATTACTTTCACAAGACAAGATCATACGAAAAAACACATACTAAAGCTATGTTTTATGCAAATAGTATAACCCACCATCAACCCATTACCATAACCTTTTCAGAAGCTGGCTAAGTGCTGCGACGAACCCTCGCTCTGAACTAGACACCGCATTGGCCCCACCAACGGCCGGATCCTGCACTACGCGAGGCCGTGGTTTGAAAAAGGCCTACGTTACGGAATAACTCACCGGCAAAAGCTCCTTTAAACTTCGGCGAACAGGGATGGACTCCAGCTCTCCCTCCTCCACTTCCATGGGCTCCGCTTCCCGGGCATCTCGATCCGAGTCTGATTCCGATTCGGACTCTGAGCGATCGGACGCGCTTTCGGACTTCACCGAGACCCGCAGGCTGCGCACCGCCGCCATCATCAGTCTTCAAACGAGCTAACGGCTAACTCTCAATGAAGTGAACGGCGCCTCGCGCTAGCTGTGCTAAGTGCGCTTGAGCCTCGCGACACACGCTGGCCAAGAGACGGTTGCTGCCAGATTGTGACCCGCCCTCTTACACTAAAGCAGATTATTATACATCCCCTTACATACTAAGGATGCAAAATACACAGAAAAAGCATTCTAGGATTAAAGAGTAGAATCGGTATAATTATCTTTCCAGTCTGCTAGTAAATGGTAATTTATCAGTTAAAGTAAATTACTTAAGCGTTCATTAGAATTCATTTACAGCCTTGCTTATGTATTAAAAGTGCTTTCATAAAAAGCTTTTCTGTCACATTGTTCATAGAATGATTTCAGGGCCCAATAGGATCCGATATAATAATCAGGTAAATGAATAAATCAGGTAAAATAAGCCATAAAAATAGTCAACCAACAAACCATGCATTTCGTGATGCAACCGTTAGTTTTATTTCACTTTCTTTGATGGACAAACTGTAGTAGCTGCAAGTATTTGGATACTTTAAAAAAGTATGTATTTTATATTTATAAATAATTTGAATAAAGTATTTTTAACTATATATTCAGGGATTTTAAAACTGAGGTCCACCATGAGTCACAAGGAGGTCTGTGGAAATAAAAAGTTCAGATGAAAATGTAATAAAATAGTTCAAGTTTGTTTGCATCATTTGTTTGCAGTTTTCTTGCTTAATGACATTCATACAGTTTTAAATGTGGCTTAATCATCAAGTAATGTGTGGGGCCACTGCATGTCCGTATACTAAAAAAAAGGTACGAAAGCTGTCACTGGGGCGGTACCTTTTCAAAAGGTACACTTTTGTACCTAATTTTGTGCCTTGATGGTACAAAAGTGTACCTTTTTGAAAAGGTACCGCCCCACAGCTTTCGTACCTATAAGAAAGAGGTAAAAGACCCATTGCATTATGGTTATACAGTCAGAGGGGCGAGAGACGCAACGAATAGAACAGACATTAAAATAGAATCAACACCACTGCAAAAAACAATATTTTATTTTTTAAAAATCAACATTTCCCTACAGAAACCTGGTAACACTTTACAATAAGGTTTCATTAGTTAATGTAATGAGCAATACATTTGTTACAGTATTTGCTAACTAAGATTAACGAATGCTGTAGAATTATAATTATTAGTTAATCTTAACTAAAGTTATTAATTAATGAACTATTATTGTAAAGTGTTACCAGAAACCTTTACATGTGTATCAGTACAATCATAAAGAAATAAATTAACACTGCTCGTTTTGTTAAGTAAGGAAACAAAAAAATTATTCGACTTAAAAACAGAATGGAAAAGTCTTTCTTAAATTGTCACATGTAACACATCTGAGCTATTTGTGACAATAAAGACGTATTCTTCTGCATTTCCTTCAATGAATATACACAATAAATATACACATAAGAGCAATCAGTTTTCTATTTTTTTTTTCTAATAATATATATTATAAAAAAACTCTTCAGGGGACACATGTAATTACATCTTCAAACAATTTTAGGCCATTTTTTTTTAAAAGGAATTGCACAAATTTGAGATTTACAGAGGAAGCCAATGCTGATAATAACATTTTATTTCTCAAAGACAAGTGACTGATTTGGTAATGAAATGTGTAAAATGAATATCCGCTGTGGTCAGTTTCATCAAACTACTGTATATCCAGTCTGGGTGGTCACTCACACTGTTCTCAAAATACTGTGGAGTGATTCAGGAGCTGGGAACTTTTGTTAATTAATAAAAACATAATTTGAATTGTATTATTATCATTATTGAGTGAGAATAGTTACTATTATTGAACTACTAATCCAGTTTGTATAAGTTAGTATTTTATTAACTCTTAAAGTGAACTTTCTCAAAATGTGCAAAATCAATAAATGTGCCAGGTCAGCAGCAGATGAGAACCTGCAGATATAAGTAATATATAAGAGGAGAAGTGCTTCATCCTGTGATGTTCAGGGTAATGTGTCTCTCTTTAATTTCCCTCCTTCTTTCCGACAGTGTCTGATCTTCGGTGGTGATCCATTCCTTTTTTTATAATTAGATGGTGAGTTAAGCTGTTAGTAAATACCAAATAAGAAACATCATTTTGACAATGACATGACATAGAATTATGACTTATGAGAGTAATTTTTTACTGGCCATTAAGATATACTCAGAGCCTGCGCCACAAATAGCTAATATCCATCACTCCGATGGACTAGATTATACATTTTGGTCACGCTCTTTTTGAATCCATCAAAATATTGTAAAGCGGAGGAATTTTTAAAGTGACTTTGATATCACAAGACCTTCTGTGGCAAGAGGTCTTTTAACCAAGTTCTGTATTGTGGGTTCTTGTTTTTTTTTTTTTTTTTTTTTAACAAGCCCTTGTTAATGAATAATATTCAATGGATTATTCCACTGGAATTCTACGGAGGCGTATTGCATTCACTTGAAGAAAAAAAATCTACTCTGTTTTTCTGAATTAACGAGTTAATTTTCCATGAGAAAAAAGTTTTTGCTCTGTTTTTCTGAATTAATGAGTTAATTTTTAATGGAATTTTTTTTGCGCTGTTTTTCTGAATTAATGAGTTAATTCAGAAAAACAGCAAAAATAAATTTTCTCATGAAAAATTAACTCATTAATTCAGAAAAACAGAGCAAAAACTTTTTTTCTCAAGAAAAACTAACTCATTAATTCAGAAAAACAGAGCAAATTTTTTTTCTCATGAAAAATTAACTCATTAATTCAGAAAAACAGAGCAAAAAAATTTTTTCTCATGAAAAATTAACTCGTTAATTCAGAAAAACAGAGCAAAAATTTTTTTTCTCATGAAAAATTAACTCATTAATTCAGAAAAACAGAGCAATTTTTTTTTCTCGTGAAAAATTAACTCGTTAATTCAGAAAAACAGAGTAGATTTTTTTTCTTCAAGTGAATGCAATACGCCTCCGTAGAATTCAATAGGACTCATCCCCAAATTTTACTTATGTGTCTGGTCTAATTTTGCAGGACGGTTTTAAACCGTTTTTATTTTAAATCTAAAAGAAAATTACATTTAAACTAAACTAAAAAAAAAACATGTTTTAGTATTTGGATTTCAGAAAAAATAGGTTTACAAATAACATACAATTTTCTTTAATATGGATAATGCTATAACATTTTTCAAGCCATTATTTTGAATCTCAATACAACCTCACTTCAAAACCAGACATTGCAAAAACTGCACAAAATATTTGTTAGATTATATTATTTCTTTTATCTTAATAGATAAAAAAATGATATTTTTAAAGAAAACTGTTAGAAAAATGTAATTCAATCACTGTTATGAAATATACAGACTATTATTAGTCTTTATATAAAATAAGTAGTAAAAAAAAAGCAGCTTGATGTACACTTCCTGCAAGATTATGGGCCAAATTTACAGTTTGCTCCAGTGCAAACCGTCTTTTGCCGTTTAAAAACCCAGTCAGGATTTACTAAAAACACGCAGTGAAAAATTAGCACTGAAAAGGTTGTTTTTGTGGCTGACCTTATTGCATTTGCATTTGTAGGAGTTTGGCGATTCCAATAAAAGCATGTCTTAAACCAGACGCTAATTTTTTGGTAGATTGTGTTTGTCATTATGAAAATGATCCGGCTGCATCTGTGTCCTTTAATTTGATCGTTAGATCTTCCACTCCCATCTGTGCTTTTATGGGATTGCAGTCTCACACTAACTTGCCCTGTTTAGTAAATCTGGCCCTACATGTGTTCATGACTGTAATTTCAATAGTAACACACATACTCACAATGGTTCTGGTTGTCTTTGACAGTCTCCTGGCTAATGTCCCTGTGAATTAGAGTTCAAAGTTAACTTTCAGTGGTAAAACCCCTCACACTAAACCAAATGGAAAAACACCACAGAGGATGGCAAACAATGAAAGAGCAACACTAAGTCATAAATAAATGAAGTCTTACAGCAGTGGACTGGCTCAATCGGTCAAAGCGAAACTTCAGATTGGTTCTGGGTGAAGTCTTGTTCTTAAAATCTTTTAGTAGGGAGAAGCAGAAAATGATACATTAAGCTGTAAATATTAAATTCAGAGTTTGAATATGAGAAAGAGTCTCGGATACCTGTTGGACTGCGGCACATAATGACCGGCGTTCCTGCACCCTGTCCCTCTGCGCTCACAGAGCCAAATACGGGCGAGAGACTGGGAGATATCTGGAGGCTGCTCTGAACACGACACAACACACATAAAGCCAGCATGAAACGGAAGTTGCCATAATCTTTTTCCTTATTGTGACATACTATATTGTGGTTTGCTATTGCTGTGACGTCATGTGAGTGACAGGTTGTCTCGCCCTCGCACCAGTGAACACATCATCAGAGAAGAGATGTTATTTTGAATAAAGTTTCCCAGTGCACGGACAAATTATTTATAATAAATACTGCAATATTCCATAAAAATAAGAATTGACTTACAGACTCTTTCTCCTCCATAGTCTCTGGGTCTCCTGCAGCACTACTGAAGCTGCTGGTGCTAGAGGACGATCGAGAAATATCTGGTTTTGCACCGGCCTCTTTCAGCTTGAGAGGAGGCCTGTAAAAAACGGAGAGACAAAATAAAGAAAGTATTAGTACCTATTAAGAGTATGAATTTACTGAATACCAGTGGTGAAACTTACCTCTCATTGATCAGGATCTCTGGAGAGCTAGGATTGGACGACGTCTCTGATCTCACTTCCTGTGAGAGATGACCGCTATCTAGACTTCTCTGATCACAGAGGACACTAAAATGACATAAAAACATAATACTTTTGGCCATATAGTACTTTTTGTACTTTAGTACATTTACGGTAAACTATTTAATTTAGTTGTTTTTTTTATAATATAATATAATACACAGTATGCAATTTTCGAGAAAAAAATCGTTAAATTTCGAGAAAAAAAGTCGAAACACAATCTTGAGAATAAACACATTAAATACCGAGAATAAAGTCGTTGTGTTTCGACAGTAGCGGTTCTAGGCACGGGCGAACCGGGCAGTCGCCCGGGGCGGCATTTATTCATGTCACATGGGCAGTTAAAAAAAATCCTCTGT